TTAAACCCCAACAACCATTACAAGTTAATTTTTTTTAATGATCCTTAATTAAAAATGGTTTATCCTCCACCACAGCATTCCCTCTGCTCCCTTCCTCCCTCCCAGTGCGGAGCTGGAAGGTCACACGAAGAGCCACCTGGACCAAGAACACCCAAAAATTGCTGCCAAAACCCCTTAATTCCTTGGAATGGACTCGTGGTTGGAGCTGTGCAGCCCCTGAGCTGGGGGCTGTGATCTGGGAGCTCTAAGGCGGCTCCTTTTGGGGGGAAAAGAGGTGAGTTTGGGCTTGTGTGATGTTGGTACCTCCAGCTGGGATGCCCATGAGCTTTGATGGCCTAACCAGACCTTTAACATCCAACCTGAACAGCAGACATGGCCCTTCCCAACTTTTCCAGCATCACTGAAGAGATTTAACCCTCAGCCCAGGGCAGCACAAAAAGCTGATACACAAAATTCCCTGTCTCATCACATTTTGGCAGAATCTGAGCATGTTTCTGTCCCAACTTTGTCTCTCCCAATCCCTGCAGACATTTCTTTCCAGGGTATGGGACTAGGATGAATCAGAAGCTGAAGGTAACTTGGGCTATTGGACCCCACCCCACGGCTCTGGGGAAATCATGGAACCACAGAAAGGTTCGGGTTGGAAGGGACCTTCAGGACCATCCAGTTCCCACTCCTGCCACGGGCAGAGGCAGCTTCCACTATCCCAGCTGCTCCAAGCCCCGTCCAACCTGGCTTTGGACACTTCCAAGGATGGGGCAGCCACAGCTTCTCTGGGAAACCCAAATATCCATCACCAAACCTCCACACTTGGAGCCACCAGAAGACCAGGAGGGACCTGCAGAGCTCAGCAAGGGGAAGCTCCATGGCCTCGCTCCAGCAGATCCTGCCCCGGGAGCAGCCAATATCGGGGATTCTCCCTTCCCACAGGCAGGAGCATCTCCCGGCATCGCCCGCAGTCCTGAGTGGCAGTGAATGAACTGCCCTGACATCTCCTATTGAAGCAAAGCAAAATGTGTTGAACAAAAACCATTTCAAGATGTTTTCTGAGTGTTGCCAAGTTACTCAACATGTTCTGCTTTAGTTGTCAGATGCTTTCAAAGCGATTTCCCTCACTCGGAGCACGAATGGTGAGGGCTCTCCCTGGGAATCTTTTGCCTGGGGCTACCATGGATCTGTATTTTCATAAGAAAAAGGCTCAACTAATGATGAATCTTTCCCAGAGGAATCGGGGCCTTTCTTTGGGATTTTTCTCCAGTTATTTTTAATTAATTTGTACAACTGGCAGCGACATGAAAGTGCAAAACCTGGGAATAACGATGTGGCCACGAAGGACCCGGCTCCTCTTGCTCCTGCAGCCCTGCCCACACCTGGATCCTGCAGGGACAACATCATCCCTCAGCTCCCCAGGGATGAGAAGCCCCCTCACCAGGGAGGAATCGCTGCTTCCCACTGGGGGTGTTCTCCCAGCAGGAGAAGTTTATTCACTGAAAGAGAGGTTGAGTGTTACATCTTAATCCCAATGTGGGGCACCTTCTTTGGGGAGAAGAGATCATTGGATGAAAAGCAGAAAGCCCCTTGGTGTTAAATTCCTGGTAGGATAAATGCATTTAGACCTGGGGCTTTCCAAGGTGGCTGTGGGAATGTGGCTCTGCAAATGGCCCCTGGTGTGGCAGACACAGGGCTTGGGGTGAAGTGTACCTGCATGCACAGGGCAAAGAACTCCCTTCCCTCCTTAGCCAGGCACATTCCCTCTTTATCCAGGCACATTCCCTCTTTACCCCCTCCTGCTGGAATAAACGTAATGCCGGTGGTATGAAGTGAGACAAAGCCACTGCCTGCTCTCTGGGCTGTTCTCTGGTGGAGCAAAGACAGAGCAATCAGGGATGGAGGATTAGGAAGGCTGTAATGTCAGAGCAAAGAGAGGATTTTTATCCGACGGGCTCCATACACCACTTCCAGCTGCTCCGGCCTGCTCCGGGAACAGCCTCGTCTGGATCCGTTTAACGAGATTGGCAAAGTGTTGAATACAGCATATGGTGCCCTAAAACCACAGAACTTATTGACAGCAGCCCAGACTCGCTAAATAAAAGATCTCCTTCCAAAGCCTCACTCTGTGAAGACTCAGCACTTTCCTCCCAGTCGCACAAGGTAAAGCCCCAGCCCGGGCTCGGCATCCCGTGCGCTCCCCCTGCCTGCCCATGGCACCCCATCCCTGTGGGAACACCTCCCGGGAGCCACTGCCTGGAAAATGCGTGGGTCTCCTACATCACTGCCCTGCAGAGTCCCTCACCCCAGTGGATGGGGCCGAACACCCCCCCAGTAACCACCACAACCGCCCCAGTGTGGAACTGGCTCCGCTCTCCGAGTCGCTGGGATGCAGCGCGTGCTCCCGGCCTCCCGAGGGGAAATCTTCAGCTCCTGCTGGGGAAGGGGAAGGCATTTCTCACAGCTCCCAGGCTATCCCAGCAAAACCCTGCCAGCCCCCCTGATGATAACTTGGGACGTTGGACCTCGCTCCTGCAGCCCTACGGAAATCACGGAATCATAGAATGGTTTGGTTGGAAGAGACCTTAAAGCTCATCTTGTTCCACTCCCTGCCACGGGCAGGGACACCTCCCACCAGACCAGGTTGCTCCAACCTGAACACTTCCAGGGATGGGGCAGCCACAGCTTCTCTGGGAAACCCAAATCCCCATCAGCAAACCTCGGTGCCCCCAGGAGCCCCTGAGCCCAGCCGGATGCTCCATGGCCAGCAGGGCACAGGGGACAAGGGGCAGGGAGAAGGACACGCATCCCTCGTGGGCCACCCCACACTCCCAGCGCTGCTCAGTGTCACAGCACACAGGGACAGGGCCAGTGACTCAGGGCCACTCTGACGCACCACACGGGGCTGTTCTCTCTCTGGATGAGCCGCTCCGAGATTGGACGCAGCCTATCTCCGAGAGAGGCGCCTGCAATCAGCTTAACTCTTGGCAGGACATGAGAAATCTAATTTCCTCCAGGATGCGGCTGTCTGGAGGCAGGGATGGGGCTGTGCTCCCTCCCCTGGCCTGCCTGGGAGCTTTTGCTCCTCATCAGAGCAGCTCCACAAGCCACTGCTCACGGCAATCCGAGGGCTCAGATCCCTCTTTACGGAACCGCTCCACGTCCAAGTTCTCAGATCGGTGTAAACTAGGCTGAAAATACAAGGATGCCATGAGGAGTAGTAAAACGAGAATCATCCTATCTTTTCTGGATAGTAACAGCAAGAGAATCTGTTTGGGAAACTCCCCACATCTTCCATGAGTGTCACCTCTCCCACCCCCAGGACCACGGGATAGTGGGATCACAGGCCTCGACTCTGCAGGACTTTGGTTAACAGGCAACTGGTAGCATGTAAACATCACCCCAAAGCTCTGAGATTCAAGTCAAAGCAGGAATCAAACATTCAGCTGCTTCTCAGAGCCTCTTTGGTCTGGAAATGGGCTGGAAACGTCAGGAAACCTGTCCTTCCCACGAGATTCCCGGTACTTCCTTCTTCCAGCCGGGCAGGAAGTAGCTTTGCTCATGGGGCTCTGCTTGGTTTTGCTTCCACTCAACGGACCAGAAAGCACAAAGTTCCTACAGTCCTCATCACTGGGACTTCTCAGACCCTTGCAGATATTTGGGATTGGTTTGAGATGCAGCAGGACATTCCTCCTGCTCCATTCCTGCCTCCCAGCTGGGCTGCAGTGATCCACCCAGGGCTGTAGGTTCCCCATCAAGAGCCAGCCTGGAAAGAGAGGGAGCAACCCACCTCTTCTTGGAGCAAATAGCAGGTCCACATCCAAACCACAACCTCATGCTAAAATGCCCCCTCCTTCTTCCCTGCCCACCCCCAGGACAAACCCTGGTCCCTGGTGCCCAGCCCAGAGGGGCAGTGCCATTCCCCAGGCACCACCTCACAGTGTTCATGCTGGGAACAGCTCTGGTGGGTGGAGGGAGAATTGGGAATTTCCTAGGAAATGATCTGGGCACCAGATCCTAGGGATCTGATGTCTGTTTGGGGCTGAATCCATGGATACACTGAGCTCAGGTTAAAAACACCCCAAGTGAGCTGAATGAGACTGCAGCAGCCAGCACCTTGCCCATCTGAGTCCAGCTGTCCCAGCTGGGCTCACAGAAATTTCCTGATCTGGGGGTATCCACAGATAAAAACTATTCACAAAAACTCTCCTCCCCAGCTGGGCTTTTTTAGTGACTTTTTTGTGGGGGAGACTCTCCCTATAAGCCAGGTTTCTCCAGCCCTTTTGCCCAGTCCTCCTGCCATCCAGTTGATGATTTGTAGCTGGGAAGCATGGGAAGGATGCCTTTGGGATGCCCTGCATCCAGCTGTTACTCCCTTGGTTAGCCTGTGCTGCTGGAGTCACATCTCCCTAACTCCTCACAGAAACCAGTCAGAAAGGACAAAAAAGGAAAGTTACACCAAATCATCAGGACACTTGGCAAAGTGGGATGTGGGAATGCTGGGGACATTCCTCCTGCTCCGTGCCTCCTCCCTCTCCACCTCCTCGCACAGAGGAGCAGGAAAGGCAAGGCTAGAGGAGCAGGCTGGGATGCAATGAGACCAACCCCGAGTGGTACCACAGTGAGGTGTCACAGCATCCCACTGCTGCCCCAAAGCCCCTCAGCGAGGGCAACGCCACGCCGAGGCCCCTGCGCCCCACGGGGGTGGTTCTGCCTCGAGTCGGTGGGTTTTCCCTGGGACAGGAGTTGGGGGCAAGGCTGTGCCAGGAGGTGCTGCCCCTCCTCCTGCTCCCTTGGGATTCACGGACCGAGGAGAAAAGGAACGAGGGCCGGGCCACCCACCGAACCCTGGCACGGCGCGGGCGGGGAAGGCGTGGGCGCCCAAGGCACTCGCGGCAGCAGCCGGGAGACACTCAGTGGTCCCACGGGGACTCCCCTTCCCAAGGGACCCCCTGCCCTCCATCCCCCCACCCCCACACCGTCCCTGCCCGTGCCGGGGCCGGGAATGCCGCGCTGCCACTGACCGAACCCTTCTCAGCGCCGGGTCCCGCAGCCCTGTGCGCGTTAGAGACTCTTCATCACGGGGATGCCCCGCGGCGAGCAGCTCTTGGGGGGTGCGCGTGCGTCACCCCCAATCCCGTGCCTCCCATTGGAGGAATAGCATGTGCCCCCCTTAGTGGAAAAAGATCTGGCGTTCTCCGTGGAGGTCGGCCCTGCCCTCCGTGTCACTCGTCCCGTGCCACGCTCTCCTCCAGGGCGGGCGGGGCCTCCAGGCCGAGCCCCCCGGCTGCACCACCGCCATGCACGCTCGAGAAGGACACCATGGTGTGGAGAAGCATCAGGACCAGCACGCACAGTCTGATCCTGCTGCTGCCGAGGCGAGACCCTGCGGAGACCGGCAGCAAGGATGGGGAGCGGGGCTGGTGGTACTGGTGGTACTGGTGGTGGTGGTGGTGGTAGAGATGGTAGTGGTTCTGCCGCTGGTGATGGACGTGGGGGTCGTGGCGGTGGAAATGGAGCGACTCTGAGGCCGTGGATTTGGGGGATGTGTCATCGTTGCTGTCTGGGGGGTGGTCGCAGGAGTCCCATTGCACCTCGCAGCACTTGGCCTCCTCGTCGGGCAGCTGGTTCTCCAGCAGCCCTGCAGGGAGGAAGAGGAGGAGGGGGTCAGTGGGAGACTGGGGATGGGGCTGTGCAGGGAGAGAGCCATGTGCTGCAGGATGGGCAGAACCTGAGAACCAGAACACCCAGAGACCCCCCTGGACTGGTTCCCAACGCGTCTGTCAGTCTGCACAGACAAGCGAGGAGTGCTCAGGGCTCCACAAATTCAGTTCATAGTGGCTCAGTGTCCCAGCCCTGCTTTAATCCATCACCTCCAGCCCCTTCCACGCTTTAGCTTTCAATCAGAGGCAGGACTTTCCCATGTTAAGATGTTGCTGTGTCCCCATTAACCCCTCCCACTGCACCCTCAGGATGGCCATGTTTCAGCATCAGGCCATGTGTTTCCACCTCCTCCCACTTCACCCCAAGCCTCCCAAATCCAGCTCGTTGCTTGTGCCCCCCCCCCATACCCCGCTCCCAGACCTCCTTACCCGTACAGATGAAGCCAGGCAAACCTCCATAGATCAGCTCGTCATTGTCCGGTAACACAAAGGGGCACCTGGTCTGCACCTCCAGGCAGTATTGCTTGCATGGGATCCGCTGTCGGCACTGTTGTTGGGTCACGTTGAAGTACTCGGAGCACAGCCAGGCCTTGTAGACAGCCTAGGGGAAGCCACCAACAGGGACCTGTCACCTCCCCGAGCTGGGGTTGCCGAAGCCTCGCAGAGACACGGGGTGAACGGGGAAGGGAGAACCTCCAGCCCCCATGAGAAATGTCTGCCAGGCCACCGGGGTCACTTACGGGACACTGATCGATTCAGTCAACTCACTGAGCCATCGGGAAGGTGGAACTCATCTCCTGGCTAAACCCACTGCAGAAATAAAGCTGATTACCACATGGAGCAATGTCCCCTGCAGACAGGCACAGGGACACTCTGCCAACACCGGTGAGCCAAGACCTCAGTCCATCACACAAAGATTCCGACTCCGCTTATGGCCCATCCCAGAGCACCCTCCTCCTCCCTGAGACACCCCGCTGCTCCCATGGGCAGCAGAGGATTCTCGCCTCCTCTGAAGTGCTTTGGCCCCCATCAGCTCTGGATGTGGGACATGAGACAGCAAAACAGATCGTGGGCTGGTCTTTCCTGGAGATTTCCTGCTGGAAAGGCTGCTGGCCAGAAGCAGCTGGCACTGTTGGGATGCAGCACATGCAGCCACCGCACCTCAAGACCTGCTGCGTCTCTCTCTGACACCAAATAACACTTTGCTCACCCTCCCCACCCGGCCATGGGAGAGATTCCCAATTCCCAGACACGTGGAACTTCCTGCTGTGCCACTTCTTTTGGACCCCATTCATTGTACATGAATGTTCTGGCTCTGGGATGTACAAACAGCAGTACAGATGTCCCTGTGTGCTCCGCTCACCCTCCTGATGCTTCGGGTTGTGCCTGGCGACATTTCCATATGGCAGAGCAGCCTGGGGGTTCACCCCTGACTGCAAGGCTGTGCCACATCCCCTGCCTCTCCAGCCTGTCTGGTCCCTGGTTTCCTTCTTCCCTTCTGCTCTCTGTGTGCTCGTGCCCCTCGCAGCTGGCTGGGTACAGCCCAGGTGGCTTTGCCTGCATCCCCCTTATCTCCCCCTCACTGGGCACATTCCTGAATCCCCCTTATCCCCCTTATCTCCCCAGCATCAGGCACGGGTGGAAGCTGTTTGTCTCTGCTGGCTGTAGCAGTGAGGGAAGGAGAGCTCCTGTTTCTCCTGGTGAGCATCATTCCTCAGGCTGCAAGAAAGCCACGGCACCACTGGGAAGGGCACCCCCTCCGTGCTGCTTCCAGCTCATCTATGAACTCATCTGGGCAC